TAGTAAGTACCCTATATTTTTTTTAATGGATGATAATGGAATGGTAACCCCGTTTGCGCTATTGGTATACACTGGCGGAGTACCAGTAAGGGGTGATAAGTAAGGATGAATGTCAGTAGGGCACCGTGACAAATTCAATGATAAATTATTCAGGATAGTTTCCAGGAGGAACCGCGTGGAGGTCGATCTGATAGGGTACATTGCTAGCAAAGGGGCTAAGTACCCTATATTTGAAATGTTGAAATGTTTGAATTAGGGAGACTTTGCACAAAAGTCGATTGCTTCGGTACCTCTGTCCCATTCGTGTTTCTACCGTGAAGCAGTTGTGTTTGCATGGCTGTGTTTCGGTTTGAAAGCTGGGATATGGCAGTGAATTTACAGGGTACAGAGGAATAACACCTGAGTCATCAGGAATGACACCGCATGGGGGGTATCATGGGCGAAACAGTATACTCTGTTATGTCCATGGTACTGCTCATGTCTATAGGCGACGGTTACCACTTTCCATCAGGTGGGCCCCCAGCTTGTTTGCCATTCTAAGTTGTATAAAAAAAAATTATATTCAGAAAGGAATTTTGGTGTAAAAATGAATAGACTATTTTTTTTAATAGGTGACAATGGAATGGAAATTCCGATGTATACCGAAAACGCAGGCGTATATATAAATAATAGTTTCGAAGATAATTTAATAAAAAAGAAACCCAGTACCCTACTGGCTAGAAGACCACCTATACTCATATGCAGTATAACATCCGATACTAACTCCATTGCTGAATAAATTGATAAGAAACTGCGCTATATTTCATCACGTCATCACGTTGTTATGACTAATTTAAGATTTCGCAATCTTGCTTGATATTTACTATTATATTTATTATTTCGTATCAGAATTGAAATCGGTCACCGAAAACACTAATAAATGGAGATAAGAGAATTAGCTGAAAAAGCGACAAAGTGATTACCTCATAATGTAAACTAAATGATATTAGTGACGTTTAATAGTTGTTGGGGATCGAATATCGATCGATTATTCGATTGGATTGTTTAAAATACTATTGATTGATCTATAGTACCTATTCTTCATAGTATACCAGAGGGAGACTTTATACAAAAGTCGATTGCTTGGATACCTCTGACCCATTCGTGTTTCAACCGTGAAGCAGTTGTGTTTGCATGGCTGTGTTTCGGTTTGAAGGGTGGGATATAGCGTGAATTTACTGGGTACAGAGGAATAACACCTGAGTCCTCAGGAATGGCAACGCATGGGGGGTATCATGGGCGAAACAGTATACTCTGTTATGTCCATGGTATTGCTCATGTCTATAGTCTCATTCCATCAGGTGGGCCGTCAGCTTGTTTGCTATTCTAAGTTATATAAAAAAAATTTAGATGTAGATAGAATTAATAACAACTACCAACCTACTGGTACTGGAATATAATAAAAGGGGCAAAATGCTGGGCCATCTTATACGACATGACAATTTTTAAAGAGCTATAGAAGGTAAAATAGAGGGCAAAAGAGGAAGACCGAGGAATAACTACATGAGGTCTGTCCCATGTAAAAGAAACACTAGGTGTCATGTCGTATAAGGAGGTCAAACATATGGCCTGGGATAGAACTGGCTGGAAGAAGATGCATGAATTAGTTGCACCGACAAGAGGAAACTTTTAAAGGAAAAGAAGACCTACTAGTCCAATAGCATTATTTATTATGTAATAAAATTCATAATATTATTTTGAATTTGCTATCAATACAATTAATTGTATGATATACTGTGATCGATCATAATTGATTAATTCAAATAAACTTCCATATTATCGATTAAATTGACGTATAGTCGATCTATAGTCGATATTTGATTATTATCAATCGAAAAGATCATTTAATTGATAATCGGTTATTTATTAGGCGACACTAAAATCTCACTTAAATTTTTTTATGCAACTTAGAATGGCAAACAAGCTGACGGCCCACCTAATAGAAAGTGGTAACCGTCGCTTATAGACATGAGCTGTACCATGGACGTAATAGAGTACAAGAGTATATATATTGTTTCGCCCATGATATTTATTCACCCTTCTTAACCATTATCTGCCCACTGCTGAATATGGACCACCCCCATAGACTGTCATAAGGAACGTGTCATGAGCCACCCACATCCACTGACTCCCTGCAGTAGAAAGTTGAAATTTACGTCTATCTATTTCTACGTTCATTGCTTATAAACCACACAACAATTTTTTGCAACGTTTTACTACCATTTAAATATTTTTTACCGCAGGAAATATACAATTTTTATTCAAACAAAACTGGATCCTTCGCAAGTAAACTATACATAATATATAAGCTGACTTGACAAACCTTGTTTAGCCCCTACTGCCATCTACCGAGTCCATTTTCTCTTTTCCGGATAAAGACGAGGAAGACAGCCGACATTATTAGAAGACCACGCCTCACTTCCCAGCGAGGCACAGTGACCAATGGTCCAGTGACCCGGAGGTAGTTGCCCCCGGAGTAGAAGCAGAGGCAAGGGCGCCGCCCCAAGGAACCTTTCTAATCCTCTTAGATGGGGGAGGGAAGGGATTGTTTTTTTTTTCTTATACTACTTAAAATGGCAAACAAGCTAACGGCCCACCTGATAGAAAGTAGTAACCGTCACCTATAGACATGAGCAGCCATGGACATAACAGAGTACACTGTTTTGCCCATGATACCCCCCATGCGTTGCCATTCCTGTTATTGCGGACTACCAGTCCCATTGCTAGCAGTATAGGGTGTATTGCTAGCAATGGTCAGGTTGACCTCCACATGGTCCCCCCTGGAAACCATCGTGCTGAATTCCTAGTGTATTCATCACGATGGACTAACTGACCTATCTTTTCATCTTACCTATCATTCCTCACTGGTGCCCCGCCAGCGCAGGCGGCGTTACCATTCCATTATCATCCATTAAAAAAAAAACCCTTTAAAAGATTGAGAAGACCTGATTAATAATAATAGACTATCCTATCTGTCAAACTGAAGTAACAAAATTTTGTAGAATTTTCGATTGCACCGTTTCGTAGATTAACACAAACGTACATAGTGACACGAGTTTGTTATATATTAAGAGATACAGTAGTACCAGGTGATACATATTAATAAATTATACAATTATAACATTGTATAAGTACATTCAAATTGAGAGAGCGTTAAATGTAATGGTATAATTAAATGTGAAAACTAATTTGTTACGGCCCGAATCTTTATGATTCAGGGAAAGTGGCCATACTTATTTACACAGCCCTTCAATAGAAATATTTCTATCATTCTTGTTACTTTACATTATAATAAATAATCAAGTAGATTATGCATGATCTGAGGAAGGAGTAAGATCTTAATAGTAAGGAGGGAGACTTTGTACAAAAGTCGATTGCTTGGGTATCTCTGTCCCATTCGTGTTTCAACCGTGAAGCAGTTGTGTTTGCATGGCTGTGTTTCGGTTTGAAGGGTGGGATATGGCGTGAATTAACTGGGTACAGGGGAATAACACCCGACTCCTCAGGAATGGCAACGCATGGGGGGTATCATGGGCGAAACAGTATACATGTACTCTGTTATGTCCATGGTACTGCTCATGTCTATAGGTGACGGTTACCACTTTCCATCAGGTGGGCCGTCAGCTTGTTTGCCATTCTAAGTCGTATAAAAAAATATCTCCAAAATCATCAAGAGACAAGTTACGAAAGAAATGAATAATCTTTTTCAACCGACGTTGAAGACGACAGAAACTCAATTTTTTTTTTTGTTTGTTATCTAATAATTTCGTCAGTTGTGAACCGATTTAAAGAATTCTGAAAGGATATACTTCCTGATTACTCCCATAGACAATTTATCAAAATTAGAGGTTTAGTTAGTTTAATTTTTAAATCAAAATGAACACTTGTAATCCATTTGACATTTATTTTTTGTGAAACTTAATTATAAATATAGTAAATATTTTATTATAATGTAGAGAATAACCTGAAAAGGAGTATTTATTTATGTTATGCCATAAAAAGCAAAATAACAAACGAGCATACCCAAAAAAAAACCTGAGTTTTGTCTGGGATGGACATACTCTTCACTACGTATACAACCAACTGCCGAGGTTTTCCCAAGAGACTACAGTAGAAGATCCATCAAAAGGATATATTAAGGTTTCTTTAGGTTAATTCTCGTGGAATTCATCACGAGGACTAACTGTCTTGTCTTTTCATCCTCACCTATCTCTCACTGGTGCCCAGCCATCATATACCGATAGCGCAAGCGTGGTTACAATTTAAATATCACCTAATATACTGATATCACCTATTGCACTGAGAGAATAACTGATTAGCGGATAATCTAATGCAGGTAAGTTGTATACTATATCAATAACAACATATTTATATATCAATAGTTTAGTCCTTTTCTTAAGGAAAATATCGAAATTAAATTATATTATCAAGTTTTATCAGCAATTCATACTCATAATTCATAGAAAAAAAGTTTTTGAAATATCGTACGAAAAACTAAAAACATTTGGATTGAAAAAAATTCTATATAAGAAAACAAGTAAGAAAGATGATTGTGTCTCATTGTACATATTCATTAGTACACTCGTGCGAAGCGAACAGCTAGTTTATATCTATAATATAGTAAGAAATATGAATTAACGCTAGTAAGATAAAGGATGTAGGTAGGCTAGATTTAAATATTTCAATTTGTAAAAAATTCAAAGGCCAATGTACAAAACAACTCTTTTTATTATCATAGGAGTTCCTTGCCATAATTTTAGGTAAATAAGTTAAATAATAAAATCACAACTTAATGAATACTTAAAATTAACTCGAACGTCATAGAATCAATTTGAAATTTGAAATTTTCCACAACTTTAGCAACGAACCTTGCCGAAATATGCATCGAAACGGACGTTGGAAGCGATTCACTTATCCTCTATGGCAGGTAAAACGGACTCAAAAATTATTTAAAAAATATCAAATAACGTGAAACATCAAATGAACAGGAGGTAGAAAAAAAACTGCTCTATGTATAAACTCGAGAAGGAATATACTAAGTTGGTGAACACAAGAAGTTTAAAGTAATGTTAGATAAGGAAATTATTTGTTGGTTAACTTAACGATCAGTTGGAAGCCACGATTATTTTAAACTTCTCATGACAAACAAACATTAAAACTGTTATTACTATTTTGATTATACAACTCACTGTGAATACTGACGTCGCGTCAACTACTACTGAACTTAAATGTTTCATATTATTAGTTTTTACAGCTTATTTTCGTCTATATACATATTTCGTGTGAATTATACAATTAATTAAGCGTGTAGATCAATTCCAATTATTAACTTTTGCCTAAACATAGAATCACAGATCGATACATAAAAAATAATCAATAACGCAATCTCCGGTCGTGAGTTTTGGTTTTAGTTATAAAAAGAAAATGGCTTTGAGCGCGAACCTACGCGTTTTAACCATAAAAGGTCAAAGAAAAAGTAACTCATTTGACATCGCATCAAAACATAAATTTGTTTTGCAGCATTCAAAAATCAAAGTGGATCATTAGAAAGTAATAAATGAGGAAGAAAATGAAATTATAATTCTATATGAAAATACGCAAGGAAAGAACATGAGAATTAATATAGAGAAAAATCATGTTGCCCCGTTTGGCTAGAGAAAAAGTCCATTAGAAAAAAAATGGCAAGCACTTACATATTAAATTAATAATCTTATGCATTAGTTCTGATAACTTCACTGACATTTGTTTAAAAATATTTCACTATTTGACTAGAAGTTTGTCCATTAAACATTCCGAGTAAATCGATCGATACTATAACAGCGTTGTAAACAATAGATTTTTAATGAACCACTTTAATACGATTGTCAAAATTATCTTTGGTAAAATAAAAAAGAAATAAAGCTACTGTGTAAAAAATAAACTTCCAAAAACCCAAAGTAAGATCTAGCCCCTTAATAATAACCGTCTAGAACCGCCTCTTCAAATGTTTACTAAAATTTTAATCAAAATGTAACTGAACAACCTAGTTCTTATCATCGCCGTTGGTGATCAGATCTCTTTTCTTGTTATTGTCATTTTTCGTTTCTAAACTTTTTGTGTCACTGATTTTATCATCTTTCTTGTTTGTTACAGCGTGCGATTCATTGTTGTCCACAGTCTTGGGCTTGTTTTCCCATTTATTCTGAAACTCATCGCTTAACATCTTCTCAAAATCACTGGACACTTTATTTACATTCTTCTTCATATTAGAGTCAGGATAGCTCTAAATGAGTAATAAATAATTAGTAGTAAAAACATCTTATTCTTCTAATTTATTATTTAAAACATAAAACCAATGCGTTAAATATATAATTTCATTTATTATAGATGTATAAGTTACCTTTAAATAAAGACGAACGTTATTGAAAATACGTCTGAAGTCTTGAACTACTTGATCGTACTCAGTATAAGAAGAATTCTTCAATTTCGTACTAATATCATGGAGACACATTGGATACTTTATCACCTCATAAAATCTTGGAGCCTAAAATAGAAGAGTACGAAGTTATTAGAGAAATGTTATCAATATAGAGTAATTATAATGCTTACAGTTGAATGTAATACATTTACTTACAACTTTAATATCCATGTCATGCAGAATAAAACCAGCTTCATTAATTTTAGATAAATTGCTTATTATTGTTTCAAATTTCTTAACAGTACTTGCTGGTAAAGGCTTCTTTTTTTTAGGATGATACCACATACCTGATACAGTAACTTTTGACTTACTTGATTTTTTCTGACTATCGTCTTTAACGTAATTTCCAGTTTGATCAAAATTAGGACAGCGTGTGTTATCTTTTGCATCTTTAGTGTTACTTTGTTCTTCTACCTGCTCGTCATTTTCAATTTGCTTAGAATCAGCATCAAGAAGTTCAGAAATATCTTCAGTGAATATGTCCTGAGTTTTAGTTGCCATATGATCTTGTTTAGCCATTACTTCTTGATTCCATAAATTAGACATATCTTTTGGCATATAATGATTGGAAGATAAACCGCTAACCCAAACATCAGATTGAGCCATTATAAGTTTAACTTGTTGAACATCTTCGGGATTCTCGACTGTAGCACTCAAACCTAAAGCATCATATAGACGAGCGGTATCTGATTTAGACCCTTCATGAATAAAATCCATTAGTCTTGGTGCGGCTTGTTTTGCAGCCTCCCAAGCACGGTCGGAAGTCATTGAATTTAAAAAATCTAGAGGATCTCTAATATCTATTCCAGGAAATCCATGTCGATGAATAATTTTCTGATCATCACTTAATACATCTTCAGCACGTCTTGGTATCATACAAGGCCAGGACTCAAGATTGTATTTCGGCTGAGGTGCCAAAGTTATAGATGGATAAGGCATCTTCATCTTCAAATTTGTAATATCGTCAACGACAGCAGAACTCTCATATATTGGTTCCGGAGAAATACCTGGGATATAAGGATCTGATGGCTTTATAGGCACTTTGTAGCTACCAGGTTTCATGTATACTTTGGACATTTCGTGAAACTCATCATTTTCAAGATCAATAAATTGCACGGGGCCAGAGATATTATTTTGAATCGTCACAACATTCGATGAAATCGACATGTTGTGATTGGGATGAGTTATAAAATCATTAGGTTCGTTTTGGATCATCTGACCCCACGCCGCAAAAAAATCTGTTTCTTCTTTTGTATCACCACAGCTATTGTTTTTTTGTGCAAAACACGCTCGCATATCAGCTGCAGTCGCCATGCTTGGTATTAAAGTTTTCTCAACATGACTCAAAGGAATCATCTTAGCTTTTAATTCCATTTCCCTTTGTTGTAACAAATCACATGACATGTTTGCTATTAATGGTTGACCTGGTGCTTTACCAAGTTCAGCGTCCATTTTATGTTTCAGTTGATTGTATAATTCTCTTTGGTCTGCATGACATATATTCTCTAATACTCGAAAGTCCGGTACGTTGGTAATAGTCCAGGACTGGCGAGATTTTGTTTCGCGAATGCTGCATGGATCACATTTATAATGCGATTTTTGATAATTGTCAATTTCATTTTGGTCATTTAAAGGATAAAAATTATGCGTGTTTGTAGGAGGTACAACAGGGAACTTTTTATAAGTTACTCCAGATCTTGGTGGCCATGGACCTTCATTATAATTTTGAGTAGTTGTTTGGTTCTGACTTTGTACCCATGGAGGCTGTAGAGCATTGAAGGGTTGTGGTGATACATTCACAGGTCGCAGTGTACTTATATGTGGCTTGACAGGCTGAAATTTATTTTGATTTTGATGCCGAGGAGCAGCAGAATTAGTGGCATAATAATTATGAGTAAAGCTTTTTTGCTCCATAGTAAAACCGTGGTCAAGGCATTTAAAAGTTTTATAAATATGAGTCAACATCTCCTTGGTTACTGCTTGCCACTGCACAAAACACTCTCTTATGTTAGGACTGTAATATTTGTTTTCGATTCTCGAAAAAGTGTCATGTTTTTCGCTAAGAAGTTCTTTAACACCTTTCCAACCATCTAAAATTCTTACAAAGGAAAATATAAAGTTTTTTATAACCCACGGTATCCCTTGAGAATGTAAATTGGCAACAGCACTATCAGGCTTTTGAACATTAGATCGAGTTTTTGCACAAATCGAATGTATGTTTTTGAAACATGGCCTATTATGGTGAGCGATTGCTATATTTTCAGCGTCTGTGCAAGCTTCTATAGCTAATTGCACTATTTGATTAGGTATCTGGTCATGTATTATGATCTTATCTAAAGCTGTTAGTAATATGTCTGATGATCCTGAAGGTTTATTTTTATCTTCGTCTTGATTATTTTGTTTGTGGTTTTTCTTTTGATTAGAGTCTGTTCTTGTGGTCAAATCTGGTATGTTACAAAGTTCTGATACCATTCTTTCTCCCTCAGCAAAGAAATCGAGACTCGAAGTAGACTCCGAAGTAAAGTTTCTGTCTTGTTTCTTTTGACGATCCGTTTCTATGCTGGCCTCCTTATATCTCTCGTGGTAACGTGGATCAGTACTAAATGCATTACGTTTATCCTGACTCTTAACAATCTTCTTTTTTGCCCCAGTGCCTATTGGTTCTTGATTAGAGACAGACCAGGAACTTTGGGAACGTCTATCGGCATTCAAAGATCTATCCCCTGACACTCCAGAACCACTGTAATTTGATGAAGATGGATCGAAAACGAGACCAACTAGAGGAGAATTTGGTGGAGAACTGAACGTAGGAGCCGAGGGATTATTATATCTGAAAATTGTGGATGTGATTAGTACTAAGTAAACTATCATTAATTGACATTCATTGAAAATACTTACCTAGGATTTTGATATTGTTGACTTGACGCAGTCGCTTCGTATATTCCTGTTGCCACCCGGCAATATGTCGCCATATTTGGATCGGATAGATCCTTGCTGGAGCATCCTAAATATATCAGTGTCTATCCATAAAATAAAACTAGATTAACTATACATAAGAAAAATTTATATGTTTGATATAAGATTGATATTATTACTTAAGTATTACAAGGCAAAATAATAATTTTTAAAATTTCTATCTGAATATACAAATTGTCGCACTAATTCTGGTCCATTTTAAAAGTTATATTCCTGATGGTTGAACTTAAAATCTGGTGTAACTCTGGTATATGTTTCAATCTGATTCCCCACCTAGATCCAATTATATTTTATACATTTTATATTTGTAGTTACCTAATTCCAAAATCCATGCGTGCGAAGTCGCAAGCTAAAGATAGTAATAATAGAAAATACTGTCTCAATAATCACGATGTCTCCCTTACGAGAAAGAGAGTAAACCAAGGACTCATGATCTTCACATTTGTCGCTTGTTTCGACTATTTTAAATTTAATTTGTTAAATTTCATCATCATATCAATCCACTACTGAAGATAGGCCTTCCCCATAAGATGGTTTTTGCTAGTAGTTGCCACGCTTGGCAAGCGGGTTGGCAACCGCAGTTAGACTTTTGGTGATGTTTAAAAAGGGGTGCTGCTGCCATTCCTTGGCCATTGAGTTCTCTCACAACATCCACGGGAAAGGAAAGGATGGCACATTCTGTATCGTGACCACACGGCAAAATTTGTTTAAATTTGTTTAAGTTTAATTTCACCATCTCACCATAACCCTTTTGCTGCATCACGGCATACTGATGCGAAGGTTGGAAGACTTCGCCCTGATGTTGCGAGCCTCTATCCCTGTTCCCCTCAGCTGCCTCATCGCGGTATTCTCCGGCTTTATTTGACGTGCCGCCACCATATTCTTGCATTTGGCTCGGACTTCTAAATAAACAAATATTTTAAATTTATCAACATCATCAATAGACACGTCACTATTAATTCATGTGAATATATATATATATATATATATATATATATATATATATATATATATATATATATATGTTTTTTTATCGAAATTATATTAAATGTTAATCAGAAGAGAAAAAATGTTAGGGCACTTGATACGACACGACGTACTTATGAACATTATAATAGAAGGTAAGATAGAAGGAAGCAGGGGAGGAGGGAAACCAAGGCACAGTTATATCAGGCAGATCAAAGAAAAAATTGGTGTCGTGTCGTATCAAGAGGTGAAGAGACTCGCTGAAAATCGTAGTGAGTGGCAAGAGCTCCACCGACAAGAGCGCAGCTCTTAAATAGAATACATAATGAAATATAAATAAATTTGGCTAACTAAATTCGGCTGTTACTTATATATTTAATTGTTTAATTATTAGAATTCCGTAGACTAGGTTATGTGGTTTTAAATTTGGTATTAGATGCTGACTATTCAGAAATATTTCGTTTTGAAACTTGAAAATATTTATTCAACTATGACATAAGGGATTTAGATCTAGTTGGTGTCTACAATATGTACACGTAGTTCATTTCATCTTGCTTATCTTTCTTTTTTCTAATCCTATCATTTACTAATACTATATGCAATATTTTAACAAATTTCAAACGTAATAAAGTTTCAATTACATTCCTACAGGAATCGATAGTGATATATATATAATGTACTTACTTGCATTTCAAAATTTTACTACTTAATCAATTTTTTCTTTTAAAAAAATATTGCACTTACCTTATTCTTATCCCTTTACAGGAGTTTCCTTAGCCTTTGGAACATATTAAAAAAAAAAATGAAGTACTACTGCTCTTGTCAAATATTTTTACTAATATCTTAATCTTACGAATTAACCGTGACACGATTTCACACTATTTGGTTATTGGGGGCACTAGCTGTCTTTCTTATTTTCTAATTATTTTTCCTCTATATGAATTTATTTTATAATTATTCCATTGCTTTCGGTATGCAGCGTTCAATGTACGGCTTGCCAAATAATTGAAACGAACCATATGATTCTATTCATTTGTTTCTGTCATTCTGGTATTTGCTTTTTTTTAAATGGTAGAGTAGCCAATATCAAACTTTAAAAAAAATATTTATTAAAATTATAATCCAACAGTGTGTTATTATAATTTTAAGAAATTAAAGACACATCTTACAAAAAAAAAACCATTTCAGTTGTGCCAAAACCAAATATTTTGATTTAAAAATTAAACTAACGAACCGATTTTGATAAAATTTTTATTGAACCAATGTGTAAGTATGTATATCCTTGTAGATAAAAAAAAATGATCTTTCAAATCGATTTAGAACTGACGGAGTTATGAGGTAACAAACATTTTTTTTATGCAACATAGAATGGCAAAACGAGCTGTTGGCCCACCTGATGGAAAGTGATAACCGTCGCTTATGGAGCATGAGCAGTACCATGGATGTCACAGAGTATACTGTTTCTCCAATGATACAACTCATGCGTTACCATTCCTAAGGACTCAGGTGTTATTCCTCTGTACCCTGTAAATTCACTGCCATATCCCACCCTTCAAACCGAAACACAGCCATGCAAACACAACTGCATCACGGTAGAAACACGAATAGGACAGAGGTTTCCAAGCAAACAATTTTTGTACAAAGTCTCCCTCTGGGAGACTACTATGTTACAGATACTTAATTGACACAGCGGAATTTTATTTCGTATACACTTTATTTTATCAACATGTTTGTAATGTAAATAATTTTTACAATATTCTTAAATTAAAATTTAACTTAGTATTCTTACATTCTTGTTAATTCAAAATTCAAAGTAAAATAACAATTATTCGCACACATATGTTCCTATGAACATTAGTATCGTTATTTTTAGAGAAAATAGTGTCGCTTCAGTTTTCTCGGAACTATTACAGTAGTCCTTAGTGCAGGAGCAGACCTCTTGTCGACCTCCGTATCCTGAACGGTGGTAACAAGCACCCTAGAGCAAAGAGAATAATTAAAACTATAAAATCCGTATATTTTTTACCATCGAAAAGAAAATTGATGAAAAAAATATTTAATGAGAAATTTTATACGAGACGAGAGACAGACAACACTTAGAAAACTTGGAATTAAAAAAAAACATGAATATCTTTGTTTTATGCAACTTAGAATGGTGAACAAGCTCGCTTGATAAAAAGTGGTAACTATTGTCATACAGATATGAATAGAACTATGGACATATCAGAGTATACAGTATACTCTGATATGTCACCCATAATACTCTTCATGCGTTTCCATTCCTGAAGAATAAGGTGTGATAAGGCTTTGTACCATGTAACTTTAATGCTATATCCCACCCTTCAAACCTAAACACAGTTATGCAAACACAACTACTTCACGGCAGATTCACGAATGGTATAGAGTTACCCAAGCAGACAACAATTATACAAAGGCTTAAAACTTTTTTTTATGGGTGAAAACGTATTGGTAACTTCATGGAATGGATACGTAATGGTATCTTGCACTATGGGTATAAATAGACGGGGCCAGAAAGAGATTACAGAAGCCAGAGAGAGAACAGGTGAGAACGAAAGCTGATCCGTTAGTTGGTAGTATTTTTTTTATGGGTGAAAATGGTATGGTAACCCTGCCTGCGCTAACGGGATACGCTGGCGGAGCACCAGTGAAGGATAATAGATGGGAATGAAAACAGGCCAGTTAGCCCATCATAATGAATTCATCAGGAATTAACCATGATAGTTTCCAGGGAGAACCACGAGGAGGTCGACCTGGTTGGGTATATTGCTAACAATGGGATTCTCAGTCTCCATTACTAACGATCCCTTTTCCTCCAGTTGGTAGCATTATATGTATATAGTAAATGGTTTCGAAAGGAATACCGAGTGGAGATCGAATTGTTAGGGTGGAGGACTTACCAGCAGGCTGCATAGGCTAGACTAGGTGTCAGATTTTAAGAGTGGTAAACTTGATGTCAAAAGTTACAGTTTCATTGACAAAAGAATTTAATATAACCAGGTGGGCCGTCAGCTTGTTTGGCATTCTAAGTTGTATAAAAAAAAAATTGATTGAAAATTAGGGTACCGAATTGGAGAGGCCAGTGGGAACGGCAAAATTTGAATAGCCTATTGGAAGCAAACGTGTAAATCCGCCGTAATGCTAAAAATCTAGATGTACTTGTAAATTGTAAATATATTAAAAAACTGCTTTGTATTCAAGAGAAGCATAGAAAAAATGTTAAATTAATATCAACACCACACTTAAAGAGGAACGTGGAAAAGGAGAATACCTTATATTTAGACTCGTCCCACCCGCAACTCCTAATCACGCGGCTGGTGGGCAGTTGGCCGTTAATCCCATAGTCCACATGCTGTACTATCTTCCTGCACAAAGTGTGGGTGACGCCACGGCCATGCTCTGAACAGTTTCTCTTCAAACTATCTGGCAACTGAGCTTCTGTGCACAGCAAGTTGGTAGCACTGTTGCATTCGTAACACAATATCCCGAGCCCTGTGATTTGTATAACTTTTAAATGGATAGAGTAATTTCTAGTTTCATGCCAAGTATTTTACAAGGTAGGCAGAGAAAACGGTTTGGTATTTGGTACACAGTACTATATATTTGGGATGGAGACGGATGTAAGAATAAAAAATAGCTCACTTTTTATTTTGGTGTCCTAGGGGTCTACCATGAAATGAAATTCCAAATTCTTGGACTCAAATTCATGCCGAAGTCGATCTAGTAAATGAGAGCCTAGCATTTCATTCGCCATAAATCTTACCATAAAAGTCCAAAGGAACGATTGTTTAATATTTTTAAATTGTATGTATTATGTCATTTTAACATCAAAATTATGTTTCGTTCGGCTCCGAAATTTGTAAATAATTTCATGATAGGCCGTCTGATCACGCAGACGAAGCAGCGTGTAAAAGCTAGTTTAAAATAAACCCCTTAAAATGGTATACAATTATATGTTTCACTAGATAGGTGCATAATTGCTTAATCTATGCTGTTTTCAATCAATATTGAAGAATGTCACTCCATAATAACTTGACATAAGGCCAATTCAGACAACACCTAGCATCCGTCGAGATCAATTCCTAGCACGCTGTCAATTCAATTTATAGGCTCTTGAAAAATGTTATAAATTGAATAGGATTAACCTCAACATTGCGGTCAATAATTCATTATTTGAACTTTCTATTTCTAGGCAGCATTCTATATTTTTATTTTTAGTGTTGTATAAAGTAGGTAATAATTTTACTTTGCTATACTTAAATTGATTGAGTTCAAATATAATAACGCAAGTAAACTATATTATTTGTTAATAAAAATTGTAATTCTACTATAATCTGTCTTATAATACTTGATAGTATTTTTCATCTATGTTGAACCGTCACCGCCTTTATATTGACGAAATTAGATAATGTATTTATACAACCGTGTAGAAGCATTAACACAAAAAATAAATGAACAATGTTGTACAACTATTTACAATTTGTTTTTATAGTGTTATGTTATCTGTGACGCCTTTGTGCAAAATATCGATATCAAATATAAATTTTCAAATACATTGAACTGGTTGCATAGAATTCATATAAACATTTTTTGTTAGAAGTGACGCGGGCCTGATTAGGAATAAAATATTTTTTTAAGAGTAAAGTCGAATTTTTTTAAAGAGTTGTTATACGTTTTAACATAGAAAATAATAAACACCAAAGAAATATACTCACCACACTCAAATAGTCCACAGAGTATAAAAATGCTAAAACTGATTCGCTTCATTGCGCGTAATGTTCTGACGCCTAGCGACAAGCACGATAAATATCTGACTTGATAGCTCTTGATACTGTTGACCCGCTAGCTGTCGTCTACAATAATTGACTTGTCTGTCGGTGCGTCTGTAACACCCGCGAGCTAGTATACAATATTCAAGTTAACAATTCCAGATTCGTTTCACAAATAAATATATATTTATTCTATTCTATTCTAATAGAGTTAAATCGTCATAAAATTAACATGGAACCAACACGGAAGTAAACTCTGTTACTTATAAAAGAATCATCAAAACCAGTTCAGAATCTGAACATAGCCTCCCTCATAAGAGAGTTTTTTTTTTAATTGATGATAATGGAATGGTAACTCTGCCTGCGTTATCGGTATACGCTGTCGGGGCACCAGTGAGGAATTATAAGTGAGGATGAAACCACGTCAGTCTGCTCATTTAACAAGGCGGATTTAACAAGAATTAACCACGAAGATTACTATGATATTATTATTTAAAATATTATTTTTGCACCATATATGTTATATGTTATGCTTTATATACAAACCCTATAAATACTTTCACTTTCTAAGGTTGACTGAAAGCAATCTCTTTAAGTGATAAGTCCGCCTGTGTACATTTTTGTTATAAATCTGGGGGAAGGGATTGAGGAGAATTAATAATGAGGAGTTTAGTCCCCATTGCTATCAATATACCCTATCAGGTCGACCTCCACGCGGTTCCCCCTGGAAACTATCGTGACCAATTTATCATTGAATTCGTCACAATAGGCTAACTAACCTGCCTTTTCATCCTCACCTATCACCGCTCACTAGTACCCCGCTAGTGTATACCGATAGCGCAGGCGGGGTAACCATGCCATTTTTACGCATAAAAAAAAACCTAATATCTATATTATACACGTAAGTGAATGAACAAAAGCATATAAATAAATAAATACATTTTCCAAGTGAATTGCGTGAAGTTCGACCTAATAGAGTAAGTATATTGCTAGTGATGGGGATTTTTTTTTAAATGGATGATAATGGAATGGTAATCCCACCCGTGCTATCGGTATACACCGGCGGGGCACAGGTGAAATATAATAGGTGAGGATGAAGCTGGTCAGTTAGCCCATCGTGACGAATTCAACAAGAATTGTTCACGATGGTTTCCAGGGGGAACCACGTGGAGATCGACCTAATAAGGTATATTACTAGCAATGGGGCTGTCAAACTCCATTGCTAACAATCCTTTTCCCCTAGAGATTCAGTGATGGGGATTGACATCCACACTACAAATTACCCCTCTTCCACCATTAGCAAGTAAATAGTTAAACTACACGAATAAAAATAATCTTTATTCAAATAAAACGGTTTAATAGAGCTTGTTATCAAGTCTGATTACAAGCTCTATTAAATCGTTTTTATTTAAGATTTGACTGTTGGTTTCGGAATGTTACTACCTGCTGAAAAGAACTCGACAAAAATCCAACAGTTACTATTTTCAATTCGTTTATGTAATAGTTACCATTCAAAATTTTGGGTTTATTTTGGTAGGATCTCACTAAATGGCATGTAGAACAGGAATTAATAGCATAAAACATTAGAAGGCTTGATAGAAGGACTATAATAAGTGGTAGTCTCTCTGTGCAGTCTTTTTTTATACAACTTAGAATGGCAAACAAGCTGACGGCCCACCTGATGGAAAGTGGTAACCGTCGCCTATAGACATGAGCAGTACCATAGAGATAACAGAGTGTACTGTTTCGCCCATAATACCCCCCCATGTGTTGCCATTCCTGAGAACTCAGATATTATTCCTATGTGCCCTGTAAATTCACTGCCATATCCCATCCTTCAAACCGAAATACAGTCGTGCAAACACAACTGCTTTACGGTTGGAACACGAATGGGACCGAGGTATCCAAGCAATCGACTTTTGTACAAAGTCTCCCTCTGGTCCTCCTTCCAATTAGGCATTCCACGTGGATACTCTTTCAATATCAAATTTATAGATTTTATTTTAAGAATTTTGTTTTTATTGGATGAAAATGGAATGGTAACCCCGCCTGCGCTAATGGGATACGCTGGCGGGGCACCAGTAAAGGGTGATAGATGAGAATGAAAACAGGTCAGTTAGCCTATCATGATGAATTCATCTGGAATTAATCATGATAGTTTCCAGGGGGAACCGCGAGGAAGTCGACCTGGTTGGGTATATTGCTAGCAATGGGATTCTTAGTCTCCATTACTAACAATCCCTTTTCCCCCTATTTTAAGGATTAAATCTCTTACTTTTCACGGATAAGTTATTATTTCAAATTCTTTCCTCACGATTAATATAATTGGAAATTTCATTGATATATTTAATTAAAAATTAAAGAAATCATTATGTATTTAATTTGTTATGGAATATGGATTGTAAACAAGCTAACGGCCCACCTGATTGAAAATGGTAATCGTTTCCTATATGCATTAAGAGTGTTCATAACGAAGTGATTCATAGATCGCCACTTTTTAAATAATCAGTAACATTGAAAAATGCCCAAATGTTTTTGAAAATTAATAAATAATTTTAACTTTGTTTTACACTTTGGTAAGCAAAAGTTATTACGAGTAACTTTGTTAACAATCCTGTAAATATTACTGAATATATAATATATATATATATATATATATATATATATATATATATATATATATATATATATATATATATATATATATAATATAATATAACCGTGTGGTCCCAGCATAGAACAGACCACCCCTTCCTTTCCCGTGGATGTCAAAACGTAAGAGGCGACTAAGGGAGGGTAAGGAATGAACAGATGCTGTTAAAATATCTCCAAAACCAGGCGACTAAGTGGAGGCAAGGAATGGACAGCAGCGTCCCTCTTAAATCATCTCCAAAACCTAACTGCGGTTGCCAATCCGCCTGCCAGGAGTGGCAACTACTGGCAATACCCCCCAAGGAAGAGAATTATGTTCAATAGGGTACAGTTAAAGTCTGATATGATGATAATGATGATATATATAATATCTATAAAATTGAAAATATGTCGAACAAAGCCACAGACAAAAGTTAGTATTGTAAATAGTTTTTAGGGTCATGTTACCAATGCCACGCATTAAGGATGCCATTGTTGATTTAGACGAGGATGTGTACAATTGAGTTTGTGATGCGGCCAATAGTACAATACTTTGTTCTAATAGACGTCTCTTGCAACATCTCAGAGAATATGTTTTATTATCCTGTGACCCTCTAGACATTTCTTGCGACATTTTAGGGAATAAAGAGTGCAGACGTACTGTATTTTTTACTCTGTAAATATTAAATTAGATTACTCTAGATTATATGAACTAAGTGACTTATTTCATGATACAAACATAATATTACCTAATTACGAATTTCTTATCCCACATTAGAGGGAGACTATATTCAGCAGTGGGCAGTTAACGGCTGATAAAGCAACAACGAATTTGTTCTAACTATTCATGCAACATTTTTTTATTTTCAAATTTGAATGGCAAACAAGCTGACGGCCTACCTGATGGTAAGTGGTAATCGTCGCCTATAAACATGAGCAGTACCATGGGCATAATAGAGTATACTGTTTCGCCCATGATGCCCCCTTGCGTTGCCATTCCTGAGGACTCAGATGTTATTCCTCTGTACCCTGTAAATTCACTGCCATATACCACCCTTCAAACCGAAACACAGCCATGCAAACACAACTGCTTCACGGTTGAAACACGAATGGGACAGAGGTACCTAAGCAAACGACATGTAGATTTTGCTCTGTAAAAACAAAAAGTGATTTGCATCCAAATAAAATTTATATGAAATAAACTCCATCTATTGCAATGAAAATTATAAAAACAAATTCTGGTTTGGCGATGACATCATGAAACATGCAGAGAGAGAGAAGAGAACATTTGGAGTCGCATAAAAATTTAATGAAAGTCAAAATATTGAAAAACTGTTTAATAAATACATTCGTAAATTACAAACACAACAAGCATAGTGGTCTTCTAATGAACCTACTATTTGTGACGTTGATAAATAAAGTGAAATTAGTACAGACAACAAAACTAATGATCAAGGACAAAAATCCTTTCTCACAATTATTGCAATGGACAATAATTTGTTTGTAACTTGTCACTGTAAAACTGGGTCTATAGCTGTATTAACACATTAGCAAGTACAGATCTGTGTAACCCTATACTTCTAACGGATAATTATACCTATTTACACGTCGTGGTCACTAACTAAGTTACTAAGTTACATATGGTCACTAAATTTGCACCCTACACACCACATAACAGTAACGAACACAGTATATCATCCAAATAAATTATAAATACATACAACTAACTATATTATACTCTCAAGTATCTATATTCTGAACAAAATTAACAATCTCTCGTAGTTTTTCAACTAAAATACGCTCCGATCGTTCTATTTTTACCTCATTAACAGTGGTTAAGAAACAGATGGTTAGTTTGGTGAAAAGCATTAACTAGTCCTGTAGATCAATTATAAGTCTGCACTATAGATATTAAAAAAAAACCATAGACAATAGATTGCCATATCTAAAGGCTAAGGTTGTGTCTTTTGTGATAGAAATGGCACTGATTTTGTCTGCTAAAAGAGCTTTTTAAGAAGATTTTTCTAACAGTTGATGGTATTGCTTATCAGTTCAGTATTTAATAATTTGGAGCAGAATCTAAACCTAGAACCTTAGTAATGCAAATGTGATGAGCATTAAGGCGGTGGCGCCTACAGGAACCGTGGCTGAGTTACAGCCATCTTCAAGACATGAACACACTTCTTGTCTGCCTCCAAACCCTGATCTCTGGTAGCAGCGACCCTGAAGAAAAGACTTGATGTTAGATCTAATGCAAATTACGTCAATATTATTGGAGGAATTGCACTTTCACATAAAGTCGAAGTCACGAAATTGGTCATGTAGTTTTGAATTGTACAATCGTAAGTCATGTGGTATTAAACTTGTTTCCTGTGATCGAATATATTAGTTGACTGTAATAAAGGGTTGTTTTTTCTATACAAAACATTACGTATACGCCAAATTTTAAGCCGATTAATTGATCCAATAAATAAACAGTAAACAAACAATTAGAACAAAGTTTATTTAAAAAAAGTTAAGAGAAATATGAAAGGGGCATATTAATTGCTAAGAATAAAGGATAATATAGGCTACATATATTATTCTCCATCTTAAATATGTCAATTTACAAAAAGATTGGTCAAGCCATTAAAAGATAACAAACAAACAATCACAACAAAAATATATAAATTTATCTGATCCTCAAGTCTAACTTGTTTTATGAAGAACCAGGGAACGAACTCAGAACACTTAGACCAGAGCCAGTTCAGAAATTTCATTTCCTAAATTGACCCGACCGAGGATCCAATTCGAGACCTCTTTTATGTCTAAATGATGAACCAGTAGCAAATATTTTCGAAGACAATTACCTTGTAGCTACTCTCATCCCATCCACACCCTCTGATCACCCTGCTGTCTGGAGGCATGCCGTTCATCTCGAACTCCACTACTTGGGAGATCTTCCTGCACATTGTCTCCTTGGGGCCACACGGCAGCCGCAGGGAGTCTGGCAGTTTGTCCAGAAGACATCTGGAGTCATTGTGACTATTGCATTGGTAACAAGTGATCGCTAGTCCTGGAGGAACAAAAGAGTTTTTTAAAACTAGCTTTTATTTTCGATCTCATCGGCGTGACCGGGATATATCAATTGAGCGGGATAAATTGAATGCTATGACCTTCTCCATCTCTTATAATACGTATACAGAAGCAGGTGGACACGGTGGGCTCTTTCGGCCTCGCGATCTCAAAGTCATTAAGCCAAAATAGTTTTTTCACTATCCGATCAAAAAAGAAGGAAGTTCTCAATTCGGTTGTGTATTTTTTTTATGTTTGTTAACTCATAACTCCGTCGTCAAATATCATTTAAGTGGGTATGCTCTCAGATTGATTCCATAGAAATTTTGATTAAAATCGGTTTCATAATTTAGTTTTTAAATTAAAATAACAGAATTTGCCACTATTGAAATCAGTTTTTTTATGGAAAATCTTAAATTAATTTAGAAAATTTTCAAAAGCATATTTTTGAGTTATCAAAGGGCCTCGCGCAAAATGTACCTATCTTGCCCACATTCAATTTAGGTTTAGACATATAAACTCACTTTCAAAATGTTATTAAAAATATTAGAGTTTAACTTATAGAGATATTCCAGTTAGTACAAATAAAAACTACGCAATGCATAAATTAAAGTCTTAACCGTTTAAACTGAGTAACATACATCCAACAAACTCTTTATATTGGAATAAAAGATATTTTTTAATGAGTATATGGAATAGTAACCCCGCCAGTGCTATCGGTATTCGCTGGCGAGGCACCAGTGATAGATGATAAGTGAGAATGAAGGCAGATCGGTTGGCCCGTCGTGAAGAATTCAACAAGAATTAACTACGTTAGTTTCTAGGGGTAACCGCGTGAAGGTCGACCTGGTATATTGCTAGCAATAGGGCTGTTAAATCCCAATTAAACATATTAAAACACGTGAAAACATCATAAATACCTATTAACTATCATCATCATCTTCCTGCCCTTATAATTGGTATTTAAGATTGGAGTAATATATTTGTAATTATATTACACATATTACATATTAATTATGGAAACTATTTCAAAATTGTACAACTTTTATCACAAAAATAACAAAACTATCAAACTGAAACACACGTAAAACCGTCGGAAAATGAATTCTCAACGCAAAACAAATTCTCAAAGTCCGCACATCAATAGGAATATCCCAACATTCGACACAAAATGCACAAACCTTGATGTAGTAAACTGCAAATTACCGCCAAAAAGCACACAAGTCCAAGCGCCATTTTGAATTTGAATTAGAAACGGATTGACGCTGGATAAATCCGCTGCGCACCGCGCTCTTCTGAACTCGACACGGCACTGAATGAATGTGGGTTTTAGAGGGATAGATGTTAGGTATATCTGTGATCTAATTCTAAGCCAACACTACCGATTATTCAATTGTTGTAATTCTATGATAAATTGCCTGAGATATAGCACGTGAGTATCGGTTATGGGCAATTGGCAATTCGGTATTTCAGTGTCATATCAGAAAGAGTTTCAGCCGGGAAGAATTTGTGGATTTAACGTACTAGGTACCTGTTGCCATGTTGACAATTAGGAAGTTTTTTGTTAATTGATGATAATGGAATAATAATCCCGGCTTTTTCCACCAGTGAGAGGATGATGAATGAGGGTGAAGCAGATCATTTGGCCTATCGTAATGAATTCAAATATATCACTATCAATGACGATGGTTTCCAGTGGGAACTGTGTGGAGATCAACTTGATAGGGTGTATAGATTGATAGATATTGCTAGCAATAGGATTGCTAATCCCCATTACTAACTATCCTTTCTCTCCCCAATTACGAGATTAGATATAGAATTGTATTATGAGATTTTTCTTTTTTATCCTCGCGCTTTGATGCCTGGTCGTATCTTACAACCTGAGGACGAGAAAGAACAAATACACAATATGTAAATTGAAATGACAAAAATCTAATTGACAGCCCTTATTGTTAATAGTAACCGTCGCCTATACAGTTAAATACAGAAGAGATACAATACATTTTGAATGAATGAAAAATGGCGGGAACAGTGAATATGGAAGAACTGTATTTTGAGTATACGTAAATACGCGATAGAAAAATGCATAATTTTTGTTATAATTGTGGTGTGCTTTGAATATTACTTGTAAAAAAACAATAATTACCTTATAGGGCATAATGTATTATATATAATGCATTATATATATATAACAAATAAAAAGTTATTTAATGTTATATTTTGTTTCTTAAAAATTATTAATGAAATTTAAGAGTTACATATTTTTTTAATTTATATAATGATAAAAAGAAAGTTTAATTCAATTTTACATCAATAAAACGTAAAATACCTTGATCTGACAGTATGTCACAATTATCATTTGTTAGTAAACTGTAAATATTATATATTTGCTAAAAAAGTTTGTTTTATAAGTGCGTAAATTATATGAGACTTTACTTTACAGTAATAACAGTTGTCCAAGACTATTTGCTTAATGAAGGACGTAGGAATAATCCTTATAATTTTTTTTTTTTTATACCGCGAAGATGGCAAACAGCCCGTGTGAGAAAGGGATTGTTAGTAGTGGGGTCTAATAGCCCCATTACTGGCAATACACCCTCTCAGGTTGACCTCCACGCGGTTCCCCCTGGAAACCATCATGTTTAATTCTTGTCGAATTCATCACGGTGGGCCAACTAACCTGCATTCTTTCTCACCTATCATCTTCCACTGGTGCCTCGACGGTGTATACCAATAGCGCGGGCGGGGTTACCAATTCATTTTCACCTATTAAAAAAAAAACCGCCCGTGTGATGGTAAACAGCTACTGTAGTCTATGGACGACACTAGGGGCATCACGTGCGCGTTGTCGACCCTGAAGAATGCTAATTTGAAGAATCCTATACTGTAATTTCTAGGGAAACCCTAGGTAGGGAGCTCACTTCACAACTTGAGCATCCATGAGAGAAAACTCCTTTGAAACTGCACTGATTTTTTCTTTATTGAAAAGGTCCCATTATTGATCATGACGTCACCTGATGGAAAGCGATGATGTAGACTAAGATGGGGCCCGCGAGCCCCAATAAATATATAATAAATAACATAAAGCAAAAATGAATATATCTTTGTTTATTTGTTACCTCTTAGCGTCTTTACCACTCATCCAGTCGTCATGACATTTTTTTGACATTGTAAAGTCAGTTTCCTGACTTTATATTATATTAATTGTATAGCCATGATTCTATAACAAATGGAATGCGAGTTGTGTAAGACGGTCGCCAGGTTGCGTGGTCGCGTTCCACCGCCCTCGTCCGCAGCTGACGACGATTTCCATTGAATATATCCTGCGCACACGCACAAGGCCTAATGTTACCAGGATGTACACGCACATATACATTTTTTTTTTAATTATTATTATAAGTAGATATAAAATGTAGAGGGTTACAGTGAAAAATAATATTCTTTAGAACAACAATATATATATATATATATATATATATATATATATATATATATATATATATATATATATATATATATATATATATATATATATATATATTCTTTATTGCACTTGTAAGTTACATATAAAATAATCTATTTATAAATGTTGTGAGCAAGGGTGGACTTATCTCTGACAGAGATCTCTTCCAGTCAACCCAGTACAGTAAGAAGTATATATATATATGTATATATATATAAGTATATGTATATATATAATACGTATAGATACAAGACGAGACAATCATTTAAATAGAAACAAAAACCGTATAGAAAAATAATATCAGCATATATGTATGGCCAGAATTAAATTTACATTATGGACACAGAAAAAGAAGTTTCAATATAAAAATGATACAATTTTTTTTTAGATCAATAAAGTATATAATTTACTGATATGAATAATTAATTAATGTAATATAAGTCGATTATGTAATTGTATTAATTATATGCTATGGCACTTATATTTCATGCAATTAACGATTTAATTTATCAAACACATAATAATGTAAGATAAAAAATAAATAAAAATACCGACTTCAATTGTGACAAACCAGTTATTTTGATTTATAAACTAAGCTACTGGACCGATTTTGATTAAATTTCTATGGCACCAAACTGTAAGTATATTGCATTGTATTGTAAAATCTTCATTGTACATAATTCAAATTAAACACTGATAAATGATTTTATATACAATGGCGGACTTATCCCATAAAGGGACCTCTTACAGTCAACCTTTGAGAAGCTGAAAGCAAACTGTAGAATGTACAAGGGTAATAACCGTACAATTAAACATAAACCAAATAATACCCAGTAAAAAGTTGAATATATAATACAATAAAAACAGCTTCATACGCCTAGATATATAAATAATAAAAGAACATGAATAATAATATAATATTAATACATAAATAAATAAAAAATTACACACATATTTTCAAATTTTCAATTATATATATATATATATATATATATATATATATATATATATATATATATATATATATATATATATACATACATAAGTATACCCAAAATAATGGAGTTATAATTGAAAATTTCCTTCTTTTTAAAGTCGGTTTAAAATAAAGTGGTATTAAAATTGAATATTGAAATTAAATCCATGTACATAAGAGCAATTTTCATATTTCATTTTACCAATTTCTCGGCAGCTAAAGACAATTTTTTATCCAACTTAGAATCGTTAAACATACGAGTATAGCTGTATATAGCTGTAGATTCCGGCATAGAATGGGCAAGAGCACAAATGATCATGGAAAAGGTCGCATTATCACAGATTTTTCTGCCTGAAAAAGCCTGTCTTACAATAAAATAGGCCACCTCTTTCTTTCCTGTGAGCGTCGTAAGAAAACATCAGCAAAACCTAAATGCAGTTGCCAGCTCACCTGCTAAACATAGCAACTACTAGCAAAACTCTTTCTTATGGGGGAGGCTTATGTTGCAGTGGTCAGATAACGGCTGATGTGATGATAACCAGGTTTCAAACGGCTGCACAGCAATCGGACTTTCCCTTAGGTATAAGTACCTATTCGACGAACATTTGCAGGATTTTGAGGATCGGTTTTAATTAATTTAATAACTGGAATGGAACATTAATCATACATCTGATGGTGGATGGTAGTACCAGCATCTGACCTTGTAATGAATACGACTCGTTTACAAAGCATTCTATTTAGATATCCACTGTGTTTTGACCTCGACATTTATCAGTATGTAGTCTGTAATGTAATCCAATAATTATGTAAAGTCCAATATATTTGACGACAAAACTTGTGAATAAAATTAAAGTACTATTAATTACTATTCGTATATCAACCGTGAAGCAGTTGTGTCTGCATGGCTGTGTTTCGGTTTGAAGGGTGGGATATGGCGTAAATTTACTGGGTACAGAGGAATAACACCTGAGTCCTCAGGAATGGCAACGCATAGTGGGTATCATGGGCGAAACAGTATACTCTGTTATGTCCATGGTACAGTTCATGTCTATAGGAGACGGTTACCACTTTCCATCAGGTGGGCCGTCAGCTTGTTTGCCATTCTAAATTGTAAAAAAGAAAAAGGTTACATTCATTTCATTCGATCATTTCAGTTTGTTGTTTTAGTATTTAAATTATTACTTAGACCTATAATGAGCTTGATTACCTTTCTCCATCACACGATTGGTTCGAAGAGTCGCTATTAATCGATAAAGCCGTCTATTGCCAGCTTTTTTATCTTGGTTCTTGATATACTTTTTTTTCGTACATATTTTATATAATTAGCTTTTACCCGTGATTTTGCTCGCGTGTGATATTCGATATCTTGTTCTATAGAATTCCACATGTCTAACTTTTTAACTGACGAAATTCTATACAAACTATCGATCCCCATTTTACCTCCTTATTGTTTACTTAGATTATATAAAAAGTCTATCTGAAAAATATTTTAAGATTCTAGATTTAATGGTTTCGGCTGTGCGTTGATGAGTCAGTAACTTAATCAGCATCCTCTTATATATTTATATAATACCTATTTTAGGTCATTTTGAAGAGAATGCATATAATTTGATAGCAGATATTTTATATTTATATATACAAACCATTTATTAATATTATATTATAATAACAGTACAAAAAGTTTCCAAAGCTACGTTTATACGATGAAATTAATTACATGTTTAAAAAAAAATATTTAAAAAAATATCCATGTCTATGGTTAGCTACTTAAAACAATAAAAGTAAAGAGGAGCGTCACTTCATTCGTAATTAGATCTTGGCCTCATTATGCGTTTATCTTGGAATCACAGAGATATAAATTAAAAATATATCTCTTCATTGTCACACACGTGTGTGTCGCTCGTGTGTACAGTACCGATTACAGACCGACAAAATCTAGCAATTGTCGGTGTGTAATCATCTCGCCACTTCCGGCCAATCTGGCGCACATACTGACAAACACGCGCGCTTCCTGCACCGATCCCTTTTTATATAGATATCCTAACAAATCTTACTCGTTTTTAACATCTTAATTGACTTAGAGTGACTGTTATTAATGAGGAAGGGAGTGCCCTTTGCTAATAATATACCCTGTTCGATTGCTTGGGTACCTCTGTCCCATTCGTGTTTCAACCGTGAAGCAGTTATGTTTGCATGGCTGTGTTTCGGTTTGAAGGGTGGGATATAGCATGAATTCAGTGGCTACAGAGGAATAACACCTGAGGAACACTCTTCAGGAATGGCAACGCATAATACAACTTAGAATGGCAAACAAGCTGACGGCCCACCTGATGGAAAGTGGTAACCGTCGCCTATAGACACAAGCAGTACGATGGAGATAACAGAGTATACTGTTTCGCCCATGATACCCCCCATGCGTTGCCATTCCTGAGGACTCAGGTGTTATTCTTCTGTACTCTGTAAATTCACGCCATATCCCACCCTTCAAACCACACACAGCCATGCAAACACAACTGCTTCACGGTTGAAACACGAATGGGACAGAGGTACCCAAGCAATCGACTTTTGTACAAAGTCTCCCTCTGGTACTCGTAATCACCCATGCTTAGAAAATGTTATCAGGAATTTGGAAAAAAAAGGATTGGCACAGCGCAAGTTAACTTGCGAAAAACAGATGTCTCTCTTGTGATGTTTTCTTGGTTTTACTTATTAATTCTACCTTTTCATTTATTAGTCATTACACCCATCTACACAGTATCTTTTTTACTACTAGTTATTCCCCACATAATCACATAATTCCCTTGTCCACATGAATTAGTATATAAAGTATCCTATGTCTAACACACATATCCTGTTAGGACATATCCTACTGTGTACCAAATTTCATTCAATTCCGTTCAGCTTCAATCATAAATATTGTAACATTCATAATATTAATAGGATAGATAGATAGATAGATACTCTTTATTGTTTCCTCCAAAAGATTACAATAGTAAAGTTATTATAGATACAAACAATTACTAGAAAATATTACACTGAGAGAACAATAGGCGGCCTTATGGCTAAAAGCGATCTTTTCCAGGCAACCTCTGCATGGAGAGCAGTAGTTATAAACAGTTTTATCGGAGGTACAATAAAAATTTTGTTATTTTAAATACATATAGAGATGAATTATAATCAATAATATAAATGTATACTTCTACTTTCTATTAAATATACATACATATATCTATTTAATTACATATATAAATATATATCCACTTACATATATACATAAAATGTACAATTATAAAATTGTTAGGTATGTAAAAAAATAAGCTAATGCTAACCAGACAAGCAAATTACGATAATGACAGCTAGCTCAAATAAAAATTCTTAACTTTAGAATACTTATCGCCTTTAGTTTTTTTTTTTTTATATCTGTTATTAATATTCTTCTACTTATTCCAATTTCATACGCTACATATTCTTTATACGTTCAAGAACAATACTTTATATATTGTTATCTATCAGGTTACAATGAAATTTTACTGTGTATCTATAAATATTGGCGTCTAAGTAAGTTTCCAGTTCGAGCTATGTGAGTCAGTTCGTTCATGAATTTACCACTTTATACCACATTTATGCGAATTATTAACATATCCTTTCACGGCATCCTTTCTTTAAAGATTAAAACCGAATTCAACCAGACGAATATGTGTTGTAACTGATTCACAAATGATGATCTTGTTATATATTCGAGCAGCACCTTCAAGCATACAGTTTGTTACAGAATTTTGTTGAGTTCTTAACCTTAAATTAAAATTTAGTTGAGTATCTATCTAATCGAGTTATAGATAAGTTTAGTACAAAAAGTTGGCAGACTTCAATCATTTAAATTGTATAGAACGCCTGTGTCTTAATTATGAGCAAAGTTGCAAATAATATATTTTACAAACATTATCAGGCGTAATATATAAATATTTTTTTTTAATATTTTAATAATTAGAATACACGCCAGAGTAATGACAGTCCAAAATATAAATAATATAGTTATATATATTACACTACATATACTTTTCTCAACTAGTAAGTATAATATATTAATATTGCAATTTTACTTTATTATTGATGGTACATTTACAAGTAATAAAACCATACTTATTTAGCAATTAATGTAAAATAATTATAAATATATATATATATATATATATAATTGTATGAGCTACAATGACCGTTTACCATTAAACGGGTTGTGTGCTTGTGTACCACCTTCATGGTATATAAAAAAAAAATATATATATGTATTTAATACTATTATAATTGACATAGATTTTACTTCTTTTTTTAATATACACATTGTACGAATAGTATATTATAAATAAAAAATAATAATAAAATAAAAAACTAACGTTTTATAATCCTTAACTTTTTGCGTTCATACATACATACATTATATCTAATAATTTTCAGGTGACTTTAAAAAGAAGCTACATATATTGTTATCTATTTTTAATGCAACTTAGAATAACATACAAGTTGTCAGTGATTATCCACCTAATGGAAAGCGGTAGCTATGATCTATAGACATGGAAACCATAGCATATACACGCTATAAAACCCCATTTTTAACCTCATGGAATGCTATTCTCATACACTATGGTTTATGCTGCCCGTAATCTTCGTTAGTTTTAAATCGTTTTAATAATTGTTATTCGATTAAAATGCAATGTTTGCGGAACAAAATTTTAAAATATCTAGATTAATTTATTAGTTTTTTTTAATGTGTTTAAGGTGAAGCGGTCAAATGCTTTGATTGCAATAGTGCAAACAATTCCGCGTGTTTAGACATGCATCTGCATCGGATGAAAGCCGTGGTACCGGTGGTAGACTGCGCCAAGTCGCTCCCCGACTCCATCAGCAAGCACGCTTTCTGCAGAAAGATGACGCAGACACGTGAGTGCATGAACAAAATGCTTTAATAAATTTTATCATATCTTTTTATAGGAAGAGATCTGAGTTCAGAAATGGAACATCAATGCGTTGTTATAGTTTTAATGAATGATATTGGAATGGTAACCTCGACTGCTCTAACGATATACGCTGGCGGGGAACCAGTGAGCGATGATAGGTGAGGATGAAGAGGCAGGTCAGTTAGCCCATTGTGACGAATTCAATGATAAATCAGTCACGATGGTTTTCAGGGGGAACCGCGAGAAGGTCAACCTGGTAGTGTATATTGCTAGCAATAAGGCTACTAATCCCCATTACTAACAATCGTTTAACCCCCTCTCCCCCAGGTAAGTTAGCACATTGTGATTAATTCGCCTGATATTAAGCGCGACGGTTTTCAGTTTTTTTAATGGGTGATAATGCTATGGTTACCCCGTCTGCGCAATCGGCATACAATGGCGGGGCACCAGTGATAGATGACTAATGAGGATAAAAGCAGGTCAGTTAGCCCATCCTGACGAATTCAACTAGAATTAACCATGATGGTTTCCAGGGGCAACCACGTGGAGGTCGACGTGACAGGGTATATTGCTAGTAATGGGGCTATTTGACCCCATTACTAACAATCCCTTTCCCACCCGGTTTTCTGGTTGGAACGCGACGAGCATATTGCTAGCAATGAGGTTGATAGTCCTCATCACTAATAACCCCTTCATCCTGTCGGGGTTACCATACTATTTAAAAAAATATATGTACGGATAATGCTATAGTTTTTTCAATAGTCCTAACGAGTTAATACCGGGGGGAAAGGGATTGTTAGTAATGGGGTCTAATAGCCCCATTGCTAGCAATATACCCTCTCAGGTCGACTTCTACGCGGTTCCCCCTGGAAACCATCATGGTTAATTCTTGTCGAATTCATCATGGTGGCCCAACTGACCTGCATTCATTCTTACCTATCATCTTCCACTGGTGCCCCGCTAGTGTATACCGATAGCGCGGGTAACCCCCACTACATTATCACAATTCCATTAAACAACTAGTTAATACCTGCGTCAACCGCCCGACACCGGTATACACAATGCGTGGGAGTGATTATTGTCAGGACGAACGGCATTGGAAGTACAATGGATCAACACAATAATGCAGTGTAATGACAGAAAAAAAATAGTGACACCAAAGTCACCAGTGCGTGCATGGACCGATTCTGATTAGGTTGAATTCAACGATGTTTAATAAAGTTATAGAAACTAATAAGGGATTTTACTTGTGGATCGATAAGAACTGAAAATTCTCCCTGAATTCTAAAAGCGGAGCTTGATTAGACGTTAAAAAAATTGCTGTTTGGCCGCTCTATAAATGCTTAAACCATTCTTACAATGAGAGTGTTACAGGCTACATAAAAAGCATATATTAAAAATGGCAGTACTATAGTAGTATTTACTTATACTGTGAGATATCTGCGGTTATCTGTGGCATTTTGTCTCTAAACAAATCTACTTTTTTTTTCAATACAAGAAAATATGGCAGTCAGAAACTTGACATTACTACTGTTTTGTGACTTTGGTCATAAATAAAAAAAGAACAGAAATCAGAATAAGATACTCTTTTATTTCCATTAAATTAGAAAAAAAATTTAATAACATATAGCCATTATAGCAATAAAGACATTATTATACAATTAAATAATTACGACTTGATTAATTATTGTTCTTAGGTTATTTTTTTCTAAAGAATGTTATCTCTTGTTTTTAAGTTTATCCATTTTTCTTAATCCAATATTAACTCTGCTTACTAAGAGATTTCAAGACATAGACAGTTCAAGAAAGACTGAATAATAATTTATTTTTTCAGTTCTTCACCCCGATAAATCTCCAGAAGTCCGAGTATACCGCAGCTGTGGTTGGGTAAAGCATAAACGAGAGTGTTACACCAATGACAATAAGGACCACCTGGAAACTGTTTGTCAATGTTTTGGGGACATGTGCAATGCAGCTACATCATTACAATATGTAAAAGTGACAGTTCTAATTATCACCGCCAATTCCAGACAAATTATCTTTTTGAAGACTAGGCAGCATGGTCTCCGACCTTAGCCTGTTCCAAACGGAACAAACGTACTAAAAAAAAAATTATCACCGCCATTTTAGTTACGTTTCAAAGTTGGCGAGGAAACAGTTTAAATTTGGAATTTTGTAGATTCTAAATTTTAATATTTGTATATCTGCGATTCTTTAATATTTTTTCTGTTGGTAAACGAACAGGTAATTGGCATGTATAAGTGTCATAAATAGTAAATAAAATTATCCATAATTAAACAGATAGTTTAGTTTGTATTTGTATTTATTTAGTCTGCTACCATTAGTATGTATGCGGCTGCCAATATTTATGGATTGACTCTTACTAGGCTATTAATATACGTAAGCCACTAAATTATAATACTAAATTTGCATGCCTTTAGATAAGGCGAAATGTGTAGATCTATTATATTTAAGACCATTATTATAACCACATTTCTAGCAAATAAATAAATTATTATTATTATTAATTATTTGATAAATATTACAATAATAAATTTATGTAAGCAATAAATACGTGCGCTGTACGCATTATAGCACTATACGGGTGGCAATTTACAAAAAAAATATCAAATAAATAATCTTATGGCTTTAACACAATATTGAATCGTGTATTTAGTTCATAGACTTAGTATAACGTACTACGTATTTAAATTATGATTATGAAATTGACTTAAACTCCAAATCTTTTACAAAATGTCAACTCTCATTCGCGCTGTGCGCAGAGAAATATTTTTCATACAGGGTGATAAGTACTTCCAGTATTTTTTGCTTAAATTATTTTTAAATTTAGTTGTTCAAAATTTGATGTTAAATAGATAATTACGTAATATGCATTACTTATGTAAATTGTTCTTTCATTTCTTTTCTTGTATTAGATAATAAGATAAAGAAAATAAAAGTTACGACAATTACTGCATTTTAATTTTATTGTAATTTTTCATTATTATTGAAAGATTGTAAGGGCATATTATTAACATTTAATTTGAGTTAATTTCATTCAGAATACGGCCACACAATGTTGAGCATATAATGGTGTACACAAATAACTTAACTATAGCTTATTGTAAACAGTGTCTCTGCATCTGTCGTGGTTACAACTCGTAAATTAACATTTATTATTTAACTCAGTCCAGCGGAGAATTATATAAATAACCTTTTACGATAATAATTTTAATAAATAATAACAAAGATAATGAAAATAATAGGATCCGCGATAATTTTCACGGTCTGTTTGCGTTTGGGTGAGTACAATTTTTAATCTGTGTTCTATTTTTTTTTTATTTTTACTGAGGCAAAAGAGCAACTACTCATAAGCCATTTCTTCTTCTATTTTTAAATGGCTACCAATTTTATTAACTTACGACAAGATGGAAATTTTCTTTTAATGAAACTGTAACCATATTTTTTTTAAATTATCTCAAAAATACTCCCAAAACTACTGTCTAAATGATATATCAATTACAATACCAACTCGAAATATTTATTCAAATAAATCGCAATTTTTATTAATTTCTGTTTTAGTATTACTACTTATATTATGGTTGAATCAGACTACAGTGTATAGATGCCGTGTGGTCCCGACATAGAATGGGTCACCCCTTCTTTTCCCGTGAGAGTCGTAAGAGAGGACTAAGAGAAGTTAATGGTCGAAGGATAGGCAGCGTCCCTTTTAAAACATCACCAAAGTCTAACTGCGTTTGGCAACCCGCCTGCCAAGCGCAAATTACTAGGAAAACCATCAGCGATGGGCGTCACAGTATATACTATGTTGCTCATGGTGCTATGCATTGTTATTCTTGAGAATAATAGATGTTTCAGCGGCTACTATCAAAGGCGACATAGAATATACAGTGACGCCTATAATGTCGTCTTCCGTTGTATTTCTTGAGAATAACAAATATTTCAACGGTCAGTATTAAAGGCGTCACAGAATATAATGTGACACGTATGGTACCCTCTTTCGCTCCTGTTCATAGAGAAAGAATGACAAATGTTACAGCGGCCAGTATTCGATGCTACGAATGCAACAGTTCAAACAACTCCATGTGTCTGGACCCCACCATATACGACCAGGAGACAGTCAAAAACTTCCTGAGGTCCACCGACTGCGAGCAGGGCGTCTTTTCAGCGAGACACAAGGAGTTCTTTTGCAGGAAAATCATACAAACTAGTGAGTATCTCGTGACTTTATCCGCGTGAGTTAGTAAGTATAAAAAGTCCCCTATACGCTAAGTTAGAATATAAACTACCTTTATACCATATATCATTGAAATCCGTTCAATAGTTTTTGCGTGAGATAATAACAAACATCCAACTATCTTTACAAATTTTCTCTTTTATGATATTAATAGGATATAATTTACTGGGTACAGAGGAGTAACACCCGAGTCCTCAGGAATGGCAACGCATGGGGGGTATCATGGGCGAAACAGTATACTCTGTTATGTCCATGGTACTGCTCATGTCTATAGGCAACGGTCACCACTTTCCATCAGCTGGGCCGTCAGCTTGTTTGCCATTCTAAGTTGAATAAAAAAAAAACTAAATATACGTTTTAATTGATTTAAAATTCTATTAATATAACCTAAGCACTAATTATACTTACTTCATGAATCATGACCAGACGGGAATAACATGGGATTAAATTCTGTCGATAACAAAAATCAATCAAGAAAATCGATTCAAAACGGGTAAATAATATATCCAGTAACATAGATGATTATGAGAATGAGAGGTATTATGGGCATGGAAGTTTACTCTATGATCTCTATGGTACAGGTAGGCGACAATTTCCACTTTCGGACTGGTTTCAGCTTACTACCAATTTGATAGTTAAATTGAGTTCTACAAAAAAAAAAAAAAAAACGCTGTAAATTTAAAGCAAAACGAGTTATTTTTATTTAAAAACTAAATTAGTGAAACGATTTTGATAAAATCGGTTTACAACTGACGGAGTTACGAAGTAACAAATATAAAAAAAAAAAACAATCAACAGTATCCAAAAAATAATATTAGATAACAGATTTTTAACATATGCGAAAATGGATATCCGACCGATATGGGCGATATCGAAATGGGTGATGACCGTTTTTTCCGCCATTAACGTCTAAAAGAATCCAATATAAAGATATCGGGGGAGAAGGGATTGTTAGCAATGAAGTTTGACCTCCATTGCTAGCAATATGCCTTATTAAGTCGACCTCCACATGGTTTCCCCTGGAAACCATCGTGAACAATTCTTGTTGAATTCGTCAAGATGGGCTAACTGACCTACTTCATCTTCACCTATCATTCTTCACTGATGCCCCGCCGGTGTGTACCGATAGCGCGGGTGGGGTTACCATTCCATTATAATCTTTTTAAAAAAATATAGATATCGGATTGGTATCCATATTATACATACCTACTTTTTTTTAATGGATGATAATGGAATGGTAACTCCGCCTGCGCTATCGGTATACACCGGCGGGGCACCAGTGAGAGATGATAGGTGAGAATGAAGCAGGTCAGTTAGCCCACCATGACGAATCTAACAATAAATCAATCACGATGGTTTCCAGGGGAAACCACGAGGATGTCAACCTGACAGGATATATTGCTAGCAATGGGGCTACTAATCCCCATTACTAACGATCCATTCTCGCTCCTACATACCTACTTTAGTGCGCTGTCCGCTTGATATCATTTTAACTTTGTTATTCTCTTAACGAACCGTACGCTGATCAATAACTCTAATAATCTACATATATTCATTGTATATCGACAACATATAATGTATTGATTTGATTTAATATATAATTATACACAATTATCGTGTGATAATAAGTTCGCAGTGTCAATGTCGGTTGTAATACAAATAGGTATATTACACTCCTGTTTGTAAATATATATATAGGTACATATATGCATTTAATTATACAAAATATATAATGTCATTTGCCGTGTGTTGGTCATAGATTAGGCCACCCCTTCCTTTCCCGTGGGTGCTGTAAACGGCGACTAAGAGAACTTAATGGCTGCCGGCTATCAGGTCGATCATCACGCGATTCTCTCTAGAAACCATCGAAATTATTTCTTGTTGAATTCGTCACGATGAGCTAACGAACTTGCCGTTTCATCCTCACCAATCACCCCTCACTAGTGCTCCGCCAGTGTATACCGATAACGCAGGCAGGTTACCATTACCATCCATTAAAAAAAGAAAAAAAAATCTTTCCCCCTATTTGTTACAGTTCTTCATAAGAATCACGACTCGGAGGTGCGGGTCACACGTGGATGCGGCTGGGTGCGACACCACCGTGACTGCTATAAGGCGGACAACGAGGATCACCTGGAGACAGTGTGCCAGTGCTTCAGCGACCACTGCAACCGCGGCGCCGTCCTCGCCGGCCGCCTGACCGGGCCACTACTGGCCACAATCAGCGTTCTAGTTTCGAAATTTTAATAAATAAATGTTTTAATGAATGAGTATACTTTATTTGCATTGCATTATACAATATAGGAAATAAGCAAGACAATTTACAAACACAACGATACAATTGTATAAGTACAGTATGGCGGTCTTATTGCTGAGAGCAATCTTTTCAAGTCAACCTTAAGGTAATTAAATGTTATAGCTGTATAGCTGTTTGTCCTTTACTTTCCATTTCCCGCGCAATTTTGACTTGATACTAAATAATTATTGAAATTTACTCATAAAGTCGAGTCGAGAAAGACAGAAATTAGTTATATATCTAAATTAAGCTAAGTACCTATCACAATATATTTACTGCTTAAATTATATAGAAAGTTTCCATAGAAATTTTTCGAGAAAAACGAGTCCATTTTTTCATACGATTATGCGTGATAAATAGTTATGAGTGATTCGTTTATAACTTTTATAATTATTGTGCATATAATTTCTATATCTTTTTAATGCGTAAACACTCATTATATTTACTAAATAATACGTCAAGATAGATTATGTGCGTAAATATACAGAAAACAGATAAAAAAACGAGTCATGTAATTAATCAATTAGTTAACAAAAAGTTAAGTCGTTTTTGAGGCTCAATGCTCTATCTATATAATCTAATATTTATTTATATATATATTGATGCTTACATACAGCACTTTATATAAACAGTTCTGGGGCAATTCTGTTTCCGTTAAATTTTGATTCGATTTGCTTTACGAAATTATATAAAAAATTGAGAATAATTATGTAGATGTTATATTATATACATAGATCATCGAATCTAAAAAAGGTCTCAAAATTTAGTCACCTAAAATGATGGTTGGTTGACTTTTTTTTTTATCAAAACAACATGCACTTTCTGATGTTTGATAAACGAGACAAGTCTTTATAATAATTCAATTTATTAACTAGATAAGCAATCTATATGATTATAGTCACTTAGATGATTTATTCCTTATTTCTATGTAACTTTTATATTACGCTCACAATGTTTTTTGCGATTTGTAATAGAAAACAAGCTGGCAGCGCTTTATATGCGTTTATATGCATTTATATTCTATTATTGGAAAGAAAAGAAACATAAAGCCATCAGAACAGCACCATGTACATCAGTATACATTTTGCCGCTTATGGTACCCGATATAGACTGCAATTTCTAAGGTATTAATGAAAATGGGGCAGAATTACCCATGTAGAAGACTTTTAAGCAAAGTATTCCCTTATAATTTTCAGTTAGTAATTTATAACTACAAAATATAGAGAAATATATTACAATACATTTCAACAACTAATTATAACAAAAATTGGACCAGGAAATGTCATTTTTATACTGCCATCTATTGACACACTTATTAACTATTTCACAATTAATGTTTTTAATGACAGATTACAGATGGCAGCACTATACTATTTCTTTAAATCTTGTTTTTATGTAAATTTATAACATGGTCAGTAATTTTTTAAATTGAAAATAATATATTGCATAATAAACAAATTTAATTTTTATGAAATATTTATAGATTTATAAATATCCTACGTTACTTGTACCTACGTAAACATTTTTATGCGTGTGCTACCACATTCAGCCAGTGATTTTTTTCTAAAGAATTCGATAGATACCTACAAATTATAAATCTTATCCCAATAGATACAAAATAAATTAAAAATGAAATGTAAATAAATAAAAAAAAAAGTCAGTGTAATTGATAGGTGGGTGCATACAATTGTATTATAATTACCAATTTATATTTAGTTTTATACAATTATAAATAAATATATTTATTAAATTACAATATTAAAACATATAAATATTGTAATGTAATTTTTAACTTATATATGTGACTGTAGATTGTAGTTATTATTTCGCAATCATCTGTCATGTCAGGTTGGCCGAGTGGTCTAAGGCGCCAGATTTAAGCTCTGGTTCCCGAGAGGGAGCGTGGGTTCGAACCCCACACCTGACAAACCGTTGTCAAATTTTTGTACCATTTTATGAATTATTATTTTATAAAATAACTATATTTTTTAATCATAAATATAATGTTAATGTTTAATCATAAATAAATGTTAGTAACGACTAAATTAACATTTCAAGTAGTACAAATGACTAAATACCTTTATAATGTTATCATATTATTAAATAACTTTTTATAAATTTAGAGAATTCATTTTATAATTTTATTATTTTATCAAAACATATAATGATAAAATTTACGTTATAAATAGTGGAATACCATTTTTAAAATTTTTTAAAAGTCAAAATCTAATACAAAGTTTCAGCCAAGAAGAACGGGCGAGAAGCTCAGCATTTGCTTTTTTAAAAAAGATTAACTATATAAATAATGAATTTATTTTAAATATAGCATGGTTAAATTTTTAGTTTCACGTAAGGCTAACGAATTCAAATTAATTTTGTGTACTCTACGCGCTATATATAGCATGACTCCGGTGACAGTCGCTAAACCCATGAAAAAATCCATTACAAATTTTCTTAAAAATTTGTGTTTGTATAAACTTTATTATACATTCACATTTAACATAGATCGACGTGGAGGTCCCGGCATAGAATGGGCCACCCCTTCCTTTCCCGTGGGTGTCGTAAGAGGCGACTAAGGGAGGGCGAGGGATGGGCTGCAGCGTCCCTCTTAAAACATCTCTAAACACCTTATTGCGGTTGCTAACCCACCTGCCAACCGTGGCAACTACTGGCGAGACTCCCCTTATGGGGAAGGCTTACGTTGAACAGTAAACAGTTAACGGCGTAATAAAAAAATGACATACATATCAGATTTTGAAGAAAACGAAACGGACTTATGAGAACTACATGGTAATCAATATGGCGCATAAATATAATAAATAATAATAAATAAACTAAAATTAATAACTATTTAATTAGTAACAGAGATTTTTTATTTATTTAAACGGTTCCTCTTGTCGTAGGATAAAGGAAACACGTCTCGGGATAGGCCAATTCCACATTTTTACGGTATGGTTCACGTAAGAGTTGGCAATTTGTAGTAAATTTAGTCGCTGGCTCATCAATTTTGTTTTTTGTCGGTGTTTTCCATCGCTGAAGATTATTTATTCCTTTGACTTTGACTCCAAAAATCTTATTCAATAGAGTTCTTTTTACAATAGAACAGCCTTAATTTCAACTGTCACTCACACCATACTACAACGGACAGAATATAGACTAATAATTAAATAACGCATTCCAGTGAACCAAACAAAATTAGATTATAAGTCTGAGATGCAAGATTTAAATTTATTTAAAAAGTGTGCAGACGAAGTGCTCGCCGCCGGCCCTCGCTCCCCTAGTCTAGACGTAAAGGGTCTCTAATATCCCGTAGAACCCTAATTTGAGAATGAAAATTGTATCGTGGATACTTCGTATGAGAAAAAATCAATAGATAACATTTAGTGTATCAAATAAATAGACACTTATAAAATAAAAAATAGCTTTAAATATGTATGTAAAAATAGTAATAACCTACAAATAAGTGGAAATGAAAGACTTTCTACATTTTATTTATTAAATCCATCCAAAAAACTGTATGAATTGTGATCACTGAGATCCCATTAAAAACATAAAATGTAAAAAATACCAAGACTTGAAACGCAGTTCTTCCACTAGAAAAAGTTGTAAGTTCTCATGTAAAACCAAGTCTGTTATTTAAGTTAGTTTCCCAGTAAATTTACGCCATATCCCACCCTTCAAACCGAAACACAGCCATGCAAATACAACTGCTTCACGGTAGAAACACGAATGGGACAGAGGTGCCCAAGCAATCGACTTTTGTACAAAGTCTCCCTCTGGTAGGATGATAGGATGTGCTATACAATAGAGTTGCTAGACCCCATGACTGACAGTGTCTTATGCCCTAGTAGATATCTCTTCGACTCCACAGGGCACCGACCTTGTCTAAGTTTGTTCAATGTAAGAAATCTGTCCCTAAAAATAAAAAGTTTTTATGTACATTTAAAACAATTTTCCTTTGTTTAAAAACGTGAATCTCGGCGTTTTGTATATCAATGGCATAACGCCCACTCACACAAATACAATGTCCTTTACTCACGTTTGTGTTATACAATAATAAAGTGAAGAAATTCGAACTTTATCTCTTTCCATTACGGTCGATATATACATAGTAATATGAATGTTTCATAATCATACACCCCGAGATAAGTCCACAGAATTACATACGGTTTGGTAATTTTCCTTGCTTTTGTTTACATTATATTATAGTACTGCGCAGTTGTTAATACTTTCAGTTCCATATATTTTTTCTGATAATAGTAAATAGAGCAATGATCTTGCTCGATGAATTATATATATATATATATATATATATATATATATATATATATATATATATATATATATATATATATATATATATATATATATATATATATATATATATTTTTATACTTGGCATAGATATATAATAAATAATTTGGTTATTTTTTTTTTAAATGCTTATTTAAGTTGGAGAATCCCATTGCTAGCAATATACTCAACCAGGTCGACCTTCTCGTGGTTCCCCCTGGAAACTCATGGTTAATTCCTGATGAATTCATCATGATAGGCTAACTGGCCTGTTTTTATTCTCATCGATCACCCTCCACTGGTACTCCGCCAGCGTATCCCGTTAGCGCAGGCGGGGTTACCATACCATTTTCACCCATCAAAAAAAAACCGTGAATATTTACAACAGGTATATAATCACAGTTCATATGACGAGGTATTCCAAGTATGGACCATACATGAGTCATAATATAACTACTTGGAATGACATAACGTTATACGCCACGTAAACGCCATGTGACAACAGTGACGTCATATTGACGTAGAATAACTGTACTGGCATACTGATGTTACTCAAAAACTTTTTTTTTAATATACGATCATGGACAACGGTTTAGGTTGGCTGTAGCACTAATAAGGAATAGTAGATGAGGATGATGTCAGTCCTCATCAGTCAGGTCATCGTAACCTATCACCACTGGGG